CCCCAAAACCCCAAAACCCCAAAACCCCAAAACCCCAAAACCCCATGTCGTCATTATAAATTGAATAAAACATTATTATTTCAAAAATGTTAAAGTTGTTACAAGTGTTAATAGTCCTTCTAGGGTTAACCCTAGCCAGAAGGAATAACGAGCCAGGCTTACTCATTGCAATGAGTGAGGGATTTTTAGAATCTATCAAGCAGAGTTATTACCCAGATCTGGTAGAAAAGATGAACATTATTCAAGTGAAAGATTTCATGGAAGGGAAATACTTAATGAAAGAACTAGATATGTCCTTAAGCATGCCTCACATTGATGACATTAAGCTATATTTTGATCAGAAGAACAATGGTGTTACTCTTGACCTCGAAAACATAGATTTTGAACTCAACGGGAAAGTTAAATTTTCAGTCTTTTTTATCAAGCTTAGGACATCTTTTGAGCTCAAAGGAACATTCAGTAAGATATCTACTACTTTTGCGATCGAAAAGCAGCCGAAGAACGACAGTTATATTCCTGCTGTCGAAATTAAGAAAATAAGTACTTCAATCCGCAAGGACTCCTGGGAACTATCTCACAGGAGGAAATTATATCGTTTCTTTTTAAGACCTCTCAAGCCTATAATAAGAGAAGTTGGAATGCCCATATTTGAGGATGCTGTTAAGGGCCAGATTCGTAAATTAGCTCCTAATTTTATCAATAAAGAAATATATAAGTCAGTTGAGATCCTTGCAGAGTTAGACCCATGGCTTCTGATAAATGTGGGATTTGTAGGCGAGGTGAAGATCACAGACGATACCTTATATCTACCCATAGATGGGACCATTGTCACTCCTAAGCAGCCTAGTAATGATTCCCATGAAGCTCCCAAGCTGCCGCTCAAAAAGAGAGATCCAGATGAATCGATCAGTATCATTGGTGGAGAGTTTTTACTTAACACTCTGGCAGATGCATTGAGCTTATATAGTTATGATTTTGACTTAGAAATAGATAAATATGAGGTTATTCTGCATATCCCAAAAAGACAGAGTGCGATTAATATCACAAATAGCCAAGATGGGATACACTTCCTGGCAAAGGGATATACTACTATTAACAACACAAATATTGCAATTAACTCCACTGTGGAAGGAAACCTCAAATTTTACTTCAAGGATGGAGATGACAACCATCTGGTTTACCTCGTAGCTAGACTGGACCGGGAGTCCTTCAAGGTTAAAACATATGGCTGGGAATTGATCGGAGAGGAGGAAGCCATGGACTGAGTTGACCAAATATTTGGCCCCATTACATATGTATCTGATGAGAAAATTGACCTTGCTCCACACCCTATTGAAAGAGATATGTTTGTAAAATTATTAGCGAAGTATAATGGAGGAGAATATACTCCTAACTATATGTCCTTTGGATTTATAGTATAGAGTAAGCTTCACACAAAATACTTTTCAATCTGTGTATTCCCTTCTGGGGTTTTGGGGTTTTGGGGTTTTGGGGTTTTGGGGTTTTGGGGTTTTGGGG